ATTACTTAATACAAAATGTAATAATATCTACAGTGATTTATATAATAATTTGCAAACACTAAGATAAAATAAAATCTCAGGATTACTTGTGGTGTAATGAAACAAAAGGAGCTATGTATACGCACATACAAAAAGTATATAATACAAACAAGTATACCCGAAAGAAAAAGCACAACCTAACGCGAAGAGAAAAACAAAATAAATAGTAAGAATAATTAGTCAAACTGGGTGACAAAGATCATTGCTTTTTTATGTTAAAACGTAAACAATAGGCACCACTATTTACTTCTCACAAATTCAGTTCATAAAATGAAATTTATGGTTGCGAATCGTCTATTTGGGATGTAAGGAGATATTGAAAAAGGAGGTTTTTGAAAGTTGACTGCGAAGAGGCACGACGGATGTTATGTGGCAAAGAATTCCAGTAGGTGACGGAGCGGGCTAAGAAGGAACGTTCATAGGTTTTTGTCCTGTGGAATGGAATATAGAGTATTATAATATATTGTCTACAGTCGGATATTTCTCCGTCGTTGTTATTTTTTTGTTTTTTTCCTCTAAATGCTGTTTCGAAATTTCGGATAAAACGAAATATTTTTTTACAAAAAAAATACTCGAAACGTGTGAAAAAGTGGAGTGGCCGGTAGCCAGCGTGAAGTGGCTAAGAGAGGCCACAGAGGTGAGGCGACAGAGAGCGACTGAATTCCGTAGCGTCGCTTTGTGGGAGCGAATCCATTAGGACGGCTTGTGCTGGCCAGGTCAAACGCCATTCACACAACCTCCCAGTCCTTTGTCACACCGTTTCGTTTCACAAAGGATATCTTCTTCTCGTCCTCATCAATCATGGCTTTCTGTTTTCGTTTGTTCCATTATCCGCCCAATAATCCTTTGTCATGTTTATTCCAATCATCATCTGGTGTCGGGTCCCAACTCGCATCTTGTTAGGTAGGCAGAAGTACAGAGAGGGGATAGACTGAATTTTACACCACCACTATAAAGGGGGTAGGTTTCACACCGCTAACTCCATCGATCGCTTGAATATAGCATCGATGAAGTGTGATTTACTTAGTTCAGGGAAGGCCTGTTGGATTCCAGCGGAAAGTTGAGTAGAAAAACAGGTGAAAAAAAATATAAATAAATAAATATAGAAAATAAAATAGATATAACTATATATAGTAAATTGAAAAATGAAACACTGATGTTACCTCAAGCCAATCCATCTACTCCAATATTCGATGGAACGCTGATCCGATGAAAAAAAACTACGCGTTGAATTCTATAGCTTGATTCCGTCTATGAGTTGAGGAGCGGTGATATATTTACGATGCCATCGATGAGCTTAATACTGAGTTTAGAAACTTGACCAAACGTTGCCTTCAGCTTTCTATATAATACAATTGAAACGAGACAGAACTTTACTATCCGCATAAGCATTACTTTGATTTATCTCTTCTGTTCATTATTCCTAGAATTGGTGTCTTGAGGTTTTATTAGTTATATAAATTAGTCCCTCCAGAAATGGTGCAGGGGAAACTCTTAAATATCAGGACAGCTATATTTTCTCTGAAAAATTAATACGACACTTAATAATGAATATTTAATGGAGGACTCAAGAAGACTTCAAAATGATCCTAGTAATGGTCGAAACGTTGTCGTAATAAAATAACTAATAAATAAAATGTTGGTGAATAATGGCCTAATTTATATAACAAATAAATACTTTCATCTAGTTTTTGGAAAAGAAGAGAAAGAGGTTTTCGTAAAATAACCACGAGAAAAATGCGTGTGTTAGGAAAGAAAATATTGGATAAATTTGAAATAAATAAATTATTTATCGAAACTGAAAAGGCGTACTAAAATTTATTATAGTATATTTTCTAAGAATATCTTTCAAGAAAATTCCCTGAATTTCTTCATTATTTTGTTCAGTATTTTACCAATAATCAGTGGTTTATGCCGCTGGCGGATCAACGGGGAGAGAGGGGGGGAGTGGACTTTGGGGCTGAAGCCCCTTCAAAATGGTAAAATATAAGCATGTTTTGTGGAAAAAAATATTTTAAAAAATATCTCTTTAAGTATTGTTAGTGTAATTACATTTAAAAATACTTTAGGTATCACCTACACACCATTTCATAAAGGTAGTTAGTTTCTTTCTTTTTTTCCAAAGTAATTATCGTTATTTTTATGAAAAAAAAGCTTTCGGGCTGAAGCTCCCCCAAAATTAAATCCTGGATCCGCTAGTGGTCTATGTAGTGCCAGAGGAATGGCTTTTTGAATCTTAGGAAGAATTAACGGAGGAAAATCACTTTTATGCCAATAATACGTAATATAAATTATTGATCTTTTGGTATACTGCAGATTTATAGCTTAATAATCATATTTTTTAAGTTCATTATTTATTTCGCCTTTTTCAAGTAATGAATTAAATTTTCGAATTCCCTACCTTAACTAATTAAATTGAAGTCTTAACCATTGTACAGATTTCCAAAAAACACCATTTAGGATCATGGAAATATATTCATGGAAAGAGTATTGTTCACATATAAGTAAAGTAGGAGTAATTATACAATTAACTTTTAATTGTAATTTGAATTAGTTAATTGATATTAAATACCAGCGTATATCTTATGAACTCTCTGTGTCTATCGACTCTTATTCAGACTGTTGATGTAATATATCGATTTTCGTTGACTTCGATATCCATTTATACGATACATATATTTTTTCAATTCTAGTGGTATTGATAGGTGATATTGACTGGGTTGAACATGGACGAGTATTTTATTAACTTACCCTTTAAATATTTCATAAATAAATAAATATTTTTATAAATCAGTTTCGATATATTATTTCAATATCAGTGACATGTTTAATCATTTCAACACCAGCTGACGCTATACGTATAATTATTCAAGTGCATTGTAATCGTTATTTATTAACTTAAGAGTGATTTTACTCTTTTAATGAAACATTTATTCTGATAAAATAAAAAATCCTCAATATTTCAATATAAATTGACGTGGGCGTTTAATGATGGGATTCCAGTCTAATGAGTCGTGCAATTATCATTTGCCTTTCCAGATTTAAAAAAAATATATTTATTTTCATTTATTTTCTTTATTAATTTTTAATGATATCATTATTTTTTTTTCTCTGCATGCCTCCATTCGTTTCTGTCATGGATGTGACATGATTTAATGTGTTAAATTTAAATTTGGCAGAACTTAGCAGTAGCTTTTCACGGTCTTTTGTTAGTCCCTAAATTCAGGAACTGAAATGTCTCATTCTGATCATTTTCATTAGCATTATATTATTATTAATTGATAAAAACATGACTCTAAAAAAATATTTGTTTATTTAGAAATATTACATTCTGTCACATTAAGGACATTTATAATAGTGTTCAGAGAGCACACTCACACTCTATTTACAATAAAAATAAATAAATAATACAGAAAATTAATAATAATAAATACAATAAAATAAAATAAAAATAAATACAATAAAATAAAATAAATGTATATAAACAAAAGAACTAACCTAATCATACACACTCGGGCTTGAGTGGAGGATCTGGCCATTGTCAAAACTCCAATAGATAGATGCTTATTTACAGAAGGTCTCTGGGCCACTGCCGCTTCAACCTTCGAGGAGGATTGTAAGGATGGGTGATGCTGGATAGAGATTGTGCAAGGGGATTTGGATGATAGGTAAGGTTCTGGTGAAATTTGGAGAATTTTTCTGGAATAAGGTCTAGGACAAATGGGATATTAAGGTCATGGTGTAAGATACGTTTGAATTGAATACGTTTGATGTTAGAAGCTTTTGCTGTCCCCCACAGTTCGAGTCCGTATGTCCATATAGGTTTCAGTATTGTCTTGTAGATAAGTAATTTGTTTTCAATAGAAAGTTTGGATTTTCTGTTTAGTAGTCTGTATAGCTGGCCGTATCGTCGGTTGAGTTCTTGTCTTTTGAGTCTAGTATGTGGGTTCCACGTTAGTCTTCGGTCTAAATGACAGCCTAGATACCGGACTGAAAAAAAAAAATTAGTTTTCTTCTTTTCCAACCATTGCTAGATTATTATTTTAATACATTAAACATTAAATTGTGCATCGAAGAAGTACATAAACCTAATAATTTGTTTACATGGTAAGGTATTAAACCAAGGTCAACCAACGCTTATTTTTACCAAATTTGCGAAAAAGTGAGACAAATGACTATCAATGGCCCTGTAACTTTGGCAACGAGTTCCTTAAGAGGAAAATTCCATAATTGTAGAGCATTGAATTTTGCGTCAGTTTTCCCTTGGTGGCCCGCTTCAGCAATTTTGTTTTTACATGTCTAAAACCTCATACACAAATTGAAAAAATACAAACTTTTCTCACATTTTTCGCAATGGATTTCTCGTTTTGATCCCGAAGTTACTGGCCTAATATTCTTTGGATGAGCCGCCATTTTTGGAAGCAGCGACTCTAGGATGGCAGACAAGGTTCTCTTTACTCAAAATAACATACACTTTGGTAATTTACAATCAAACCTTCGCCAGCGATCAGGTCGAATTTGGGCCCTGGCTCCAGGGATAATAAATAGTATATAATTGATATGATGTCGTTCACACACTATTAACTTAACGTCATTGATGTACATTTCTGTGCCAGGAAGTTAAGGACACCATGTCCATAAATATATGTCAATTGCTCAAAATTATGGACAATTCTCTCTTTTGAACAAATACAAAAAGCTTTTTACCTACCGTATACAGGTTTCATTTTTGCCTTTAATTACAATTTCGTTTCACTGTATTTTTGTTGTTGTTATATTTATGATATTTAGACAATTGTTTATTTTATTTCTTTATTAATTACATTTTGATGGACTGCAATGAAGATATACGAAACCGCCGTTTAACATATGTGATTATATGATTAATCACAAATAACATTAGCGATGTAATATAGTCATAAAAAAGGGGAAGAACGATTAGTAATAATTACAAGGCTAATCTAAAAGGAGATTTCTTTGGTAGCAGTTAATTGGGAAGGATATCTGGTCCATTGAAGACCCCGAGATAAAATGCCCGATCTGCCGTAACGAATCGAGTCCCACTTCCTCACTCTGTTATCTAGCTCAAGTCTGCTCTGATATCTGTGTCATTAATAATTAGAGCATCGAATAATTTATCACATCTGGTTTTAAGTAAATCCTGAATAAAAATCTGGCTCGGTGCCCTCTTCACACAAATTTCAATTACCACCCTAGTTTAGTGGAATTTATTTTTTTTTGCTTTAAACATTTATTTTCACCCAGCAAATGTGCTGAGAAAGCATGAACCAATGGCATGTATTATCTAAATGTTTAAAAGATGAGAAAATAAACAACGTTGTAATTAAGTAGCAAACAATTTTTTAAACTTCTAATTTCGCGTCGTATAGAGTTTCCATCTTCAAACAAATTTATGAAAATTTGACATTAGAAAATTTGAAATTACTTGAAAACAGATTATGATATACTTCTTAGCGTAAAGAAAACGTTTGTGTACATTTTAAAGTATTTATGCAAATTTCGAATTTTGGTATGTGTCCCGAGTTACGCTTTACACGCCCCACTGTGCGGCGCCGCTTGACACGAGAATTTAAACTGGACAACGCCCCAACACGCTCTGCCATCACATCTCCATTACTTAGTCAGTTGTCTAATGAGCTTAATCACCTTTGGCAGGTTTCTAAACTCAGCGCTGAACATCGTAAATATATAATACTATCTGTAAACTCTGATCGAAACCATCAATGGAAATCAGATTTGGTCATCGATGGCTCATCAGTTCCATCGGCTATTTGTGTCAATGGAGCTGTTGAGATATTTATATTATTTACTTTCAATCTATATTTATTTCTGTTTTTTTTTTTGTTTTTTTTTATTGTAAACCCACAACTTCTTGTCCTACAATATCCTTCAATGATATTCCACTTGTACTTGTTGAACAAATCCGCTACCTAGGTCTCCACTTGGATAAACTGATCGACGTTTCCGACTGCTCCAACACTTACAACACTAACGCTCTAAACTTTCAATTAATTACAAAAGACTTATCTACTTAACCATAATAAGACCTATATGGACATACGGAGTTGAAGTTTGGGGTTCTACCAAACCATCGAATTCCTATCGTATCCAATTCTGACAATCCAAAATCTTTAGTAAAATTCTTAATGTTTCATATGTCGCTGATTTAGCCCGAGCCAGATACCTATCCTTTCATGATAAACTCCAGTCCCATCCAAATCCACTTTTTTCCAGCCTTGCTTCTTCCTCGATTCCTGATAATTCTCCTAGGCGTCTGGAAAGAAGATGGCCTCGTGACCTTCTCACCTAGAATTAAATAGGGAGTGCTACCACTGGTCAGTATCTCTTCAAGTCTGTTCATTTCATTATCCAATATGTGCATTTTTACTAGTTGTATTGTTTATACAGTTGTAAATTTCATTGAATAAATAAAATAAAAAAAATTTCTGTTTTTATATTCAACAATTTAGTTGGTAGATATTTCCTGATCTCTTTTTCTAATGTTTCATGTGTTTTATGATCTTCGTTAACAGGAATGTTAACGTTCCACTTAAAAACTGCAGGTTTTCTCTAATATCAGAGTATCGCTATCCATTGCTGCTCAATTCAACCGGATACCACCGATATGACTAGTGCTGAGTTTAGAAACTTGCTCTATGCATTGAGGCATCCGACCTTTTTAACTGATTTCTTTTCTCTTTTAGATCTATTTATTAATAAACGTTATACTTTATCCCAAAGTAGAATACAAAGGACTTCTTTTGAGTGGAGCTCATTGATGCTATAATAGAAAGGACAGGGACAAGCTACCAAGTAATCGAGTAGACCTCAGGTGAGTCATCCTGCATAGCTGACATACCTTCCTTCCTTGTCCTGTGGTCTGTCTTCATCCGGAATACAACTTAGAATACCTTTGTTGTCTCCCTGCTTCACTGCTTCTGAAACTTCACGAAGACATATTGGATCTACTATGTAGATTGGATAAGAGTATTGGTAAGGGTTCGTCATAGACCTTGACAACAAAAGGTATATTCAAGAATTACTTTGGTCATCTCAAGCAGTAGGTAGACTCAGGCTTGTCAGGATTACTGAGTAGATATTTAAATGAATGAGTTGTGATAGGCCTAAAAAAATTAAATAAGAAAAAATTATATTTAATTAGTATTTTTTTTGGGGGGGGAGAGGATTAAAGTGAAATTTTATCATTTCTTGTTATCTATCTTGAATGCCAATTGGAAATAATAAATAAATATTTACATGCTATTATACATTTTTAAATTGATAATATGGAAGAAATTTTTTTAAGCTATTTATTCAAGATATTTACAACTGTATTACAATATAAATACATAAAGTAAATGTGTACACAAGAATATAATCACTTGAAAACGCCTGTTGAGAAACTATCCACAGGTAGCATTCTAATAATATGTCTACAAAAGGAGATCACGAGACCATCTTGTTTTCAGACGCCTCGGGTGGTTATCAGGAATCGAAGAGGAAGCAAGGTTAGAAACGAGAGGGTTATGAAGTTTATTATGGAAGGATAGATATCTGGATTGGGCCAAATCGGTGACATATGGAACATTAAGGTCATTATGGATTATTTTATTTGTGACAAAGTAAGGAGCATTGGAAATTAATTTAATATTTCTTTATTTAACTGGATACTACAGTAGCATATCTTGGGAATGAAATCAGTGGTTTCTTTCAGAGCTCTTGGGAAAATTCCTACATGATATATATATATATATATATATATATATATATATATATATATATATATATATATATATAATATCAATAATTTATGACCAAGAAATGAAATTAAATGAATACATAAAATAAATTTAAATAGAATGTTTAGTTAACAATGAAATTCCTCAGACGAACACATCTTTTATCTAATTTAGACAAAAAGATGACATGGGGCTTGCAAATTAAAATGGAACTATAGACCATTAAAAACTACTTAAACTATTTTATTCACTTTTTTCCCCAATCTTCAGAACTGAAACTGTGACGGAGATAAAGTACTTACTGAAATCTATAGTTACATACTCCTCTCAATTATGAGTTTTAGTCAAAAAGATCGATATACAAAAATTTGTATCGAAAATGTTACGATAACAAAAGCAAATTAATACGTGACTCACTAAACCATACTGATGTCCAGCTACTAACAGCTGATTCTTTGCTATCAATTATATACCAACTACTTTAAGTACGCTTTAAGTTAGCTGTTGCTGTATCTCTTAGAGGTATAGCTGAGAAACTCCTAAATTCAAGAAGGAATCTCAAAAGGTGTTGGATGAGAGATCTCTTTCCTTGAACAACCAAGACTATTAAATAAAGGAATAGATGTTACTGGATACTTTTCTTTCTTAAGTCTCTCATTACAATAACGACTGTTACTCTAATTGATGATTGTAAACAGTAAGTTGACATGTGCAGATTAATATTGTAAGATAAATAAATTAATTATTTTTTCATTTTTTATCGAATTTTGTTACAACAACACCTAGAAAATTGTTGATGTTTTAGAATTTGTTTGAGTAATGTTATTCCACTTTTACAAGACATTTTTTTTTCTTTGTTAATATATGATATTTTCTCGTGTAAAATGATTGCTGCTGGTATGTAATACAGTCCATTTTATTAATATTTAAAACGGTATATTTTTCACAATATCGCTTATACCGTTATTCGTCTCCATAAACTGCCTCCTCTCCCCTCCTCCCTATCTTATCCTATATTTATTATACGGCTCTTCTGCCCTCCTTTAAAGCTCTCGGGACTAAAGCCATCGCAGGCAGAGCTATTCCTATGTATCCTCGTTTCCGAGCTCCTTATGTCTCTTTCTTTTCTTCCTTTTCTTTTACTATCAGATTCGACATATTTTCTTTTTACTGTTCTGATTCAATATGACATAAGATCCAGGAGCTTTATCTTATATCGTACCTCTGAAAAACAAAATAGATCTTGAAAATTCGTTGTTTTCCTTATTATGAGAAGAGCGGAATAAGTTCTTCTTCATTTTCCTTTAAATTTCTCTCGGAAATGTTATTTATGCTCCTCGTAATTCTGGTTTATTTCTTCTCTCTTGTGGAGAAGGAAAACCTTAAACCTCCTACGACTTCTGCTTCTTCAATTATGTTGAAACAAGGTTAATATTTTATGTCTTTCTTTGGCATTTCGAAGTTAGTTGAATAGCTTCAAGTTGTTTTGTTTTTAATTCAATTCTCTGTTATAAGAATACTCAGAATATAATAGTCGTCGAAAAATGAGATTCAGATTTATTTGACATCTTGGAATTGACTTCTTGAAGTCCTTTATACATATTTAGAATCTTTTTGTGTATTTACAAATTCCTTAAACAGTACTTTTTGTAATGTTGAGTATTAAACATTTGAATATATATATATATATATATATATATATATATATATATATTCATAATATATATATATATATATATATTTATAAATAGGCCTGACAAATGGCTTTTTGTAGTAAATTGGCAGCTTGGCAAGTAAGTGTTGTAGTAGTCGGAATCTAACAGCAGTTTCAGTCTTGTATAGTGATTCCATGCAAGATGCTTGTTATGATGAGTACTGAGTAAAGGATCTGTTCAACAGGGATTATTATTATATTATTAAAGGGGACTGTTGAGAGTTGTGCGTTTGCAACGTAAGGCTGGTGCTTTTATCAATGGAAGTGGATTATTAGGAAATGTCTAGGGAAAAGGAATAAATAAAGTTTGTAAAGCCCAAGGCCTGTTATACGTTAACATTTACCATCCGATGGCACTGTGGAATAGTAGATTTCCGCAGGGATGCCTATCTCTCTAAAGTGGATGGTGCAAGAACCTATCCCCTCTCTCTTCCAAGATCTTTTATTGCTCACCTTTATATATAACAGAGCAAGGAAAAATAGAATTAAAAAACTTGTTGTAGATCATACACAATTACACTTGCTGTGTTCTGTTCTATGTTTTCTCCCTATCCCTTATTCTGAAACTTTTCATTCCGAAAATTCACAACCCCGTTGAAATGTACCCCACTAAAAAATTCAAAAACCCGTCCAAATAGTCACCCTCAAAAATTTTGATGGCTCAGCATGCTCCATAAAACTCCCTTCTCGGTTCCCCTGGATTGCCGAAATCCAAACTGATGGACAGGTATGACGTGATTTATATCAAGATTTGGGTACACCTTTTTAGTAGTTTTTCTAGGATTTTGTCTATGATGGAAGATAAGGAGTTAGGACGTTAGAAGGAGTAGTTTTTAAGTTTATGTATCATTTTTACTATTGATAATTTCCAATTGTCGTAAGTGGATCGAAGTATTATTGTAGTATATATAGGTGTGGAATAAATTAACAGTTCGAGATATTTTAGAATATATGTTGTAATGAGGTCTTGGAAGGTAATTTTTGAATAATGTCAATTGTTTCTGAAGGATGGAACGCTTGAGAGATCAGGTCGTTATTTTTTGTAAAAATCTGGAGAAAAAAATATTAGGTATGTCAATTAAGAGAAATGAGTTATGTGAGATGGATATCTGGTTTTATTCACTTCGCCTTGCTTCGCGTTTTTCTATTAATAAAATAATTTTGGAATGTGCTATGTTGTTATGACCATAAACCGAACAACCAGCTAATATTTGATATATGTAGCCTTTAAGTAGAATAAAATACAAAAAATTATTTAATAGGAAAATACAGAATATTTGTTAATTTTAAATTAAATTAAACATGTGCTTTTTGTTTTAAACATGCAACCAAAATGAGTCTCTGATAGATGTCTCATTTTGCATTAATTAATTTATGATTTTATATGAGCATACCCGTTTTATTACTTTATTTGTAATTCATAAATTTATTTTAAAATCTCACAGTTAATCTCTCAATATTCGAGTTAATGAGATCATAGTTCATAATTTTATCGTTAAAGTTTTGCTATCTCTTATTGTAATCGCTTTGCAGATATCAAGATACCATGATAAAGTAACTTATATTAACCTGTACAACGTTGCACTTTCGTTACTTTAAGATGGTATCGAAGATATATTTCAATGGAACTATTTATATTTTCAATACTATTGCATATTATATTGATATTGATATTGATATTGAAGCTAGGATTGCTGCACTTTGCTGCACTGAGACTTGATGACACTAAGCTTAGGCATGCCATCCTACCTGCGGTGAATACAGGAAGTGCTGCTATGAGGTGTGGCCTTCGTCATAGAAATGTCTGGATCCTATTATACCATTTATGATTGCACTGTATCCTGTTATTTTGCTCTGATAAATAATACATCTATTTTTTCTTTTTAATGAATAAAACATTGAATTTTTAAATATAATTTCAGTATAATCAATTCAAGGCAGTTATAATTGTTTAGCTATTTATTTCCTATTAAGTTTTTATGACGTAGTCATTTTTTAATCGATTATATTACTTATCGATGTACGTCACAGGGACGAAATTTCCAGAACAATTTTAATGATTGTAGCTTTTACTGATTGTGGCTTTTAGAATAGAATAGAATAGAAAATAATTTTATTCTTTGACGAAGTCCCTTTAGAATAACAAAAAAGTACAAAATTAAAGTATTATATCTGGCCTAAGTAAAAACAAACATAAAAAGTAAAAATAAAGAAAAAAAAGTAAAGAAAATATTAGTTAAACATACTATGTACAAAATAAAAAAATCTATATACAAAACACTTGAAACCATGCCAAGACACTTAAAACTATGTACAGTGGTAAAACATAAGTATACACTTTAAAAAAAAATAAATAAAAAATACATTACATTCTTCTTAGCAATAAACTCTGTGTTTCTGGAGAAAAAAAAAGAAGAATCTGATAGTAAGTATTAAGTGATGAATTATATGTAAATATATCATTATGTGAATCATTTTGAATAATATGTAAATTTAAATAAAAGGTTGGCGGAGGGTGTCTGACTGTTTTTGGGATAGAAATTGGAATAGGAGGG